AATAATTCACATAGCCCATTGTTCACAAGTAGTAATTAATCTTATTCCTTTGAGAATGGTGCATGTAAATTCCGATCCTGCAAAGAGAACCTGTGGCACCTACCTGCAACTATTCCTGAGGGTAGCAGGACTCTAAATTGGTATTTGCTGATGGAGGATTGTGCTTGTCTTGAAGGTGAAGGGACTTGAAAATGAAAAAATTCATCTACCAGAAGTTTTCCATTTTTGTCAGCGGTATGGTAACACTTGCTCTCTTATACTGGGAAAACCATTATGCCAATCTCTAGATAACATAAACAGCTTGCTCACCTGTGACGGAATCCTAGAAATGGGAATCAAAGGCAAAAATCCGAATGACTACTCTGTGGCCAGGATTTTACTTCTAGCATTCTTCAAGGGAGTTATACAGAACTGTTGATATAGTTGTTGGCTAATGCTTTATAATTTTCTTAAGTGGATATATGGGTCATATACGTAATTCTTTATAATCACACAGTAAAGGGAAAGTACATTTTGGGTTGGATTCTACTCTCTTACTTATCTTGGTGTAACCATGTGGTGAGGCTAGAAGTTGGCCCTCTGTCAGCATGTCATGCAAGTGACTCATCTGCTACTAATCTCCAAGTCAGATATACTGGTTTGGAGTGGTTTGGGCTCTGCAGAAATGTGTAATTTCCAAACTGTTGCTCTGGGAAACACATTCTTTAAAGCTAGTGAAAACTTACTTTGTCTTCTCTCTCCTTTCTCTCAATCAAATCAGTTTTTGCACATGCCGCTCTCTTCGTATGAGGATTTAAACTGTTTCTGACAGGTAACAGGGCACCAAGATAACATAGGATCACACACATCAGGCTGCAAAAAGCAAATGCACAGAAATTGTCTGAAGCAACAATCAGGCAAGCTCCGAAATCTGTTTGGAATTTCTGAGAGGACACTAAAAAGACATAACAAAGAAAGCCTGGACCTACGGAAAGTCTAGGGTTAAGGTTTAGCAAAGTCAGAAATCTTTGTCTGACACCTGCAGACCTTCATGCATCTTCATAAAAACAATGGAACAAAACTGGAGAGAGAAATGAGAAACTGTTTTATTTGTGGTTGCATCACAGAAAGTTTATCTAACTGAGATGAACCTGTGTGCAGATTCACTGATATTCAGGCAGCCCGTGGCACATGTTACTGCTACCTCTGGAACTGAGTGCAAAATTATTAATGTGAAAATTCCTTTTTTCCCCTCTTTCACCCCTCTCCTTCTCATAATTTCTTAGGGTGTTGCAGAAACACGATATTCTTACTGTTTCCAGCTAAAATTTGCCTCTCCATACATGGTGCACTTCACATCAGGCTTTTAAGTATCAATTTTTAGACTCTGTTAGGAGCTATATTTCGAGGACATCAGCCATATTTTTTCAAAGGAATCAAGTTTTCTGTTGCAGACCTTTGCAGCTCCAGTGGAGCAGGTTCTGACTTCAGATGGCCACCATGGCCACTGGCTGGCATCAGGGCTTTCTCTGCCCAAAGCTGCTGCAGCGAAACCCCACAGCAGCTTCACGCTGCTCTTGGAGCAGACCTAGAAGGAGGAGTGGAGGAACGCCTGCTCCACCAGGTCTCCGACAGAGCCTCCTGAAGAGGCAAAGCTGCTGCAGGCAGTGTCAGGGCTCAGCTCCATCAGCTCTGTGCAATGCTAGCTCAGATATCAGAAGCACTATGGCTGTGTTGGAATCAGCTGAGCCCAGCTGAAGAAGGAGTATTATTAGTCTGAGCAGAGGAAAATGCATCTACTGCTATGCTATTTCTTGTGCCTCAGCTACCTTATTCGAAGCCAGTTTGCTTGTATCTCTGCATAGCACTGAATTATGCCACCGCCAAACCCTACTATGCAATGAACTTCTTACAAACTGAGCCTATATCGTTATATCCTCTTTTATCACATAACCTACCTTATTTTACATCTCAAGAAAAAGCACTGTACTAAGAAGAGGGAAAGCAAATCAAGCCTTGTATTTTTAAAACCACTCCCAACTGAAATACACAGTTAGAAACAAAGGAGGAAAACAGTGGAGAAGGACAGATTTCTGCAGGTCCCAAAGAAGTCATCTACACTCTGTAGTCTACACGGTCCTCCACAGCAAACTCACTGTGTTCAGCTGCCAAAAAAATATTTTTGCCTGCCTGCATTATGAAATTTTGCATACTATCCAGCAAAAACAGGTCTTCCTATATGCATTTTTAACTTCTTGCAGCAAAACATACTGCTAGCAAACAATTACTTACAAAGATACTCTTTAAATATAAATAAGAAAGTGTGTATAACTCACTGATACATACTAATAAAATAATCCCTAAATCACTTATTACATTATGGAAGATAAATAATTTGTCGTTTGGACATCAACAGGAAATCTGCATTAAATTATCTTTAAAAAAACACTCTAAACTCCCTAAAAAAAAAAAAAAACAACAAAAAACCCCAACAAAAACCTCATAAAACCCCTAGACTGTCACAATTATTGCACAACTAAAAAAAACTTTGGAAAAAACATACTTAACTACTGGAAATTACTGTAGGTATAAAAGAATGAGATATTTCTGAACACTTTGCTACATTCTTCCTAGAAGAACTTAGCTATCTACAGAAAACCTGGTTTTTACTAACAGAATATAAAATGTAACATCTATCTTTTGGTTGAATGCAATAGCGATCTTCAGGATTTAAGTGATTATTGGGGGCGGGAGGGAGCTTTTAAATTAGTTTCCTATATTGTATCTCAATGAAAAATAAACCAACTGTCACTTTCACTTGTTCTTTGTATAATTTAGGATCCAGTCACACACTCAGACATTTACATAATTCCCATGCCTTTCACTAAAATTCTATATATTTGAGAGTATTTTCTTTCTCTAATACTGGGTATTCTCTACACGATTAAAATCCTCAATTAAAGGGACTCTGCTACATTATTTTCAAAAAGATAAAAGATTACCTTATCCTATAGGATCTTCTGACAAGTAGATGGGAAGGATGGTGGAAATTACATTTATTTTCCCAATTTTTTATAATTATTCCTTGTGCTTTGCTGGGGCAGAAACCAGGTCTCTTTCTATGCCAAAGCTCTTTGTAAGTGCCATCAGAAGAACACAATCATGACCTAGGCCAATGAAACCAAATTACTAACTCTGCTATTTGTTGTATCGGGTTTCATTTATTGGTTCTCCATTAGCATAAAACTGTTGGTAATTGGAAAAATTTGGCAATGAACCAAGTGAAGAGGAATACTATTCCCTGGAAGGTTAAAGAAACTGCATGCAGAAGTCCTTCTATTTAGATTAGATTTTGTTCAGAAAAAACATTAACGTTGTTTCCGTGTACTAACAATTTTGGCTTAAAACTACAACTGATGTTTCTTCCAGCTGAAGATTTCTAAAATGTGACTGAGTGGCCCTTCCCTCAGCAAGCAAGCCATGCTATGTTTCTTCTCTTACGGTGTTCAGTGTGTGCCTGTTATACTCTAATTGGGGTATGACTGCTTAGCACAGACGTTAAGGCAGGTGAGGACTCTTACCAGCCAACTTTCCTCCTTGTGCATTGGAATCAGTGAACTGAGAATTCAACCTACTGTTTGTACAGCGTGTAACTCAATATAGACAAAGGGCTTAATAGTGCTTCCTCCACAAAAATCCAAGGGAAACACTTCCACTGATTTAAAGGGACCAGAACCAAATCCATTTCGGTTCCTCTGTTCCACACTCATTATACATACAGGCATTCAAACTGCTGAATAAATCATGCATGTGAGGAAGAATACAAATGGGCCCAGACAACTGATGGAAACAAAATGAATTCATTAAAGCAAACAACAATCTGCTAGATGCCAAGGGGAATGTTGTGCCTGACCACTCCCACACACAAGCAGAAGCTGCTGAGCTTTGGGATAATACAGGCTTGGTACCATCTACTTCCCCCCTCCTTCCATGCTACCTCTGCCTCCTCCCTCCAAGGAAACCATCTTGCAGGTGGTTTTTCCTGGACTTACCCTGCGGGACATTACCTGTGGATGCTCTGCCTTGTCATCTCCCTTGGCAACTCTCTGAAACTCCTCTCTGACTGGCATTACTCGCTCTGTGCTGTACAGCTCTAGAAGCCTCAGCAGAACAGAAGTTACAAGCTCACTGCATGTTGGTAACTTCTACTACAGCAGGGTCTTATCTTATGTGATATGTTCCTCTAGAATGAATCAAATGCAACACACATCTGCCCCTACCATTAGGATTTAAGAAAAGCAAAGAGAGAAAATCGCGCCTATTCATCTTAAGTTATACCAAGTTTTTCAAGAAATTAGTGTGGATGAAAGCAGCCATCAACACCTCAACCAACGTATCTTTCACAGCGTGCCTTTCACTTCAAAAGAGTAATTTCTGAAGGATATCTGCAGTTATGTTTTGTAATCTAATGTCCAAATCATTACTTGAATAGTTTCAGGTTTTGTGTATTACTGGGGAAACTACTTCCATACAAAATCATATTCCGTAGCAAAATGCAGGCAAGGAGGAAAGAGAGAAAGCAAACAAATATGTGCACAACACATGGACAACACAGAAACTCTTCTGTGCAAGCTACCCTTCTGAAATGCTCAACAGGTCTGCATGTCCACCAGAAGGAACTGCAGAGTCATGCTATGGTTATTAAGCCTTCCTCTGTAACATTCCATGTAAACTTTGGCTTCCTGATCTTAGCTGGAGCATTATATTCTCAAACCACAGTCACAAAGACTACCCAAGTAGCTAGGTGATAAAAGGATGATTCTGTCCAATTTTTCCTTCCTCTTTCAACTCATTTGTTCTCCAGCCAGCCATGATGTTGTTTCCTGTAGTGAAATTGCTTTTCTGATGAAATTGCTTCTTGTAATGACTTGCTACACTTCTGTCTCCTTCCTAATTCAAGCACTGATACACTGTTGTAGAACTTGATTTATACTGATTGCTAAGAAGACTGAATACACCAGGCCTTCTCATTCACTTGAAAGACTGTTTATAAAGTGTAAACACATTTAAATGAGGAGCATGTACAGGCATGGCCTTAGAGGTACATCTGGTCATACTGTACCTCTCCCAACTACAGGCCAAATTGGAGAATACTGCTGATCAATATGAACAAAGAAGCAACGCTCATGATTATTTCCTCCCCTATTTTCTGTCACCTGCTGAAAGATGTTTATCCCCAATAACAAAAGAAGCAACGCTCGTAGTTATTTCCTCCTCTATCTTCTGTCACCTACTGAAAGATGTTTATCCCCAATAACAGCACACAAAACAAGCAGACATCAACTTCTTCAATACACTGGGTTTTTAAACCAGCCATTGGTAACAATTGTTTCTCTTCTGAATAATACATCATTATTTATAAATTAAACATTGACCTACATAAGCCTCCTTGGAACTTGTAGTGCTCAGTTATTATCAGAGATCAGAGAAGAAACACGTGTCTTCAAGTATTATAGCTTCTTTTTTTTCTTTTTTTGCTGCTATCACTGATGTAGTAGTAGTAGAGGAGTAGTAGTAGGAGTAGTAGTACAAACTGGACCAGAAAAAAAGTTATGTTCCCTGTTTTAAAAAGAACAGCATGATATAAGGCAGTCTATCAAAAAGAGCAGTCTTTTTTAATCCCCCTATGAGCTTACATCAGCTACTGTAGCAAACACGGCAGAACCACCACAACAAGCCAAAAGCCACACTTCTCCACATAACACTGAATGGCTCTCAACCCTTCGCTCTTTCTGAGACCCAGCACAATGCTTAAAAAGAAAAAAAAACACCTGAAAACAAACAAACAAATGAACAAACAAAACAGAAAACAGCCCCCCACCCTCCATCCCATGACTGATTAGAGTTAATGCCCTTCTGTTGGGCACCAAGAGACTTTTCCAGTTTTACTGCCTTCTTCACTCCCAGGCACCTCTGCACACCTAAAGCAGGCTGCCCTGACATTTTCCGGTTTGGACTTCATGAGAAGGTTAACATTTTCCTCTCTCCAGTCTCTGCTTGTTCATTTGAGGCGTTGAGTCACATTAGCCAGAGCAACAGCAAAGGCTTGCACTGCAGAAAATGGATACTGAAAGTCCAAAATGTAAGCATTGCCATCAATCCTTCCAAACTGCATCACCTGGGAAGCAGGGGAAGAGGAGGAGGGAAGCAAAGAGAGAACAAGGTCAAAAAAAGTGAACCACAGAAAAGGAACCAGAGAAGAATAAAAGCAAAATGTTTTTGCTCCTTTGTATGAACACCTTACCTCCTGAGCTAATATGAATGGGGCTATTCACAGAATGGGGTATGATGCCAAAGAAGAGTAAGAGCACTGTGCTATTGGTCTGTATAGAGTATTTGACTGCAATAATTGACTCTATAGACTAAATAGGCTTTAAAACATGCTAGACTGTATACAGCATTGGTGTAAGTAGATTGTCACCAAGTACTTCAGCAGATGTTGGTTACACCAGCATCATGCTTCCTGCAGGAAAATACCATTCTCTCCCTTGGAGAGATCCTATCATCAGCCCACCAGGAAAACAGATTTTGTTTTCAAAGAAAAGAGCTTTCAGGGAAGGGGAATAACCAATCTCCTGACTCCAGCACTTCATAGCCGTTAAGCTGTATGTTCTTGGCAGTTATGTTTTCCTTTGCATAAACTTCACTAGCACATAATTACACTGAGAATGAATTAGCAAAGGGGCAGTGGGAGCTGTTTGAAATGTAAAGCAAGGCTAGTCAGGTTGGTCATTCTTCTTCCGCAGGGAATATCTGAAGTTTGGCCTATTATTACTGCTTTTTCATTCACTTCACCAGAAGCCCAGACTGTATTTGCTCTACAGTGAAGATCCTTCAGCTAGAATGGAGGCTGTCTGTGCAAGCCATGTCAGGCTTTGTTTCCCCAAGAACAAAACCTGTGGCCGGGTCATTTTGCACAGCTGCCCGCCCACAGGCATGTAGCCACAGCCATTTAACTGAAGAAGAAAAGGGTATAAATGGCTCTGATCACTGCCTTTTTAATGAGCTGCTGTTACAGACAAACAAAACCAAGAGACTACCACTGGTCATGCATGTTGGATATTTAAGACATCAAACTCCCAAGTTAAATCAGAGGGAGTTGAGAGCCTTGATGCCTTTAATAAATCAAAAGTGACTTACAGAGATGGGACAGCTGGACAAGGAAATAAATATGTGTCTCCTGAGTCTCAGTCCAGTGTCCTGCTGATTAGTACCACTTAATAGCCTGTGTTTGGTGTAGTAACATCCCACTCGGGCCAAGGTGAGAGAGCCTAAAATTGAATGTTTTGATGTTTTGAACTATCTATAGATTCGTCTACCCACAGGCGGTTCAGAAGCGGCCCAGGAGCACTTTGTTCTGGGGAGGGTCAGTGCCTCCCTTCTCTAGCATTAAGAACCAGCCCCAGAGGCCTGGTAACCCACAAGGGGAAATTTCGCCATGGAGGGAACCTAACTGCCTGTCCATTGTCTCTGCCTTAGCTATCTGCTGACTGGCTAACCTTTGTGAGCGTCGCAAGAAGGGAGCAGTGTTCACTCAGCTAGCTGCTATCCACAACCACCGACGGCAAATGCAGCTACCGTTGGGGAGATCTGTTGTGTTTATTACAAAACCCACCCACCTTCAGCAGCGAGAGCCAGTGAGACTAAAGGAGGCCCTTATTCCCATGTCCGACTGCAGTAAGACCAAGCGTATTTTGTATGTTTACTTTACAACTAAACTTCACCCTCCATTCTGAATTTAGACCTTTGACTGCTGGTTTTTATCAACCATGCGGCAAAGGCTTTTTTCACAGAGCAGCTAACATGAGTGCGAGGCAGTCGGCCATGTGAGAGGCAGAGCTTGTTTCTGGCATGGCTTTCCCACACCCTGGCCCGCGTGTGCCACCCCCTCCTACCTGTCGTCCTTCCAGCTCAATCTGGAAGTTTTTTGCTGACTCCTGGGTCACCCGCCCTCCAAAGTCCAGCTGGTAGACTTGCGTTGCCTCGTTCCACAGTGGCTGCTTGTTGGCCATCACGTACACAAAGCCCTGGCTCCCCAGCCTCCCATCCTCCTTCTCACTGGCCTTCCGGCACTTGAATTCATCCAGCTCACTGGCTGTCCTCAAACTCCTTTTGGTTTTCCAACCCTTTTTGCTGCCCTGGCTCTGGTTCATCAGTTCATCCCCGCTGATAAAAAGCTCTGGCTCGCTCTCTGAACTGTCCTGAAACTCATTGGTCTTGTTTAGCTTCTTGGACTTTAGCTGGTCTTTCTGGCTCTTGACCTTCTTCTTCTCCCTCCCCAGTCGAGGGCTGGATATTAGCGAATTGAAGTCGGTCAGCGTCCTTGCCTCCTTTTTGACCTTGCCCTCGGTGATAGCCTGCACGTTTCCTTCCTCAGCTCGACTGTCCAGGCGCTTCCGGCTCTTCTTGCTAAATTTGTCCGTCCTTTGAGGGATGGGGCTTTCTGTCAAGGAGAGCACCTCCTGGAAGGTGTCTGCCGTCTCCACCATTACTTCTGTGCCCACGTGGCCCTGCAGCTCTGCCGGTGGGGGAGACATCACTGGCTTCTCCACCACGAGAAGCGGCTTGCGGGGCAAGGTGCCCTGGGGGTTCTGTACGGGTGGACAGGCGCTATAGGAGCTCCATGGGTGCAAGGCGATCGGTGGCAGCTGTAAACTAGAGCAGGCGCTACTTCCTGGGTACATGGGTGGCAAAGGGCAATAGGAGAGGTTGGACGGATAACCTGGCTGAAGCACAACTGTGGGCTCCTGCTGTGCAAACTGCGTTGGGGCCAGAGCTTCTTTGGGGGAGCAGGGGGGCTGCATTCCCTGAAGGGGAGGGGCACTGTAGCTTCCTGGGTAAGGTACTCCGACCCCGTAACTCGTCTGGAAAGTGGCAGTGGGACTGGTTGGTGACTTGGGGGAAACAAACGGCACTCGAGACATATCCAGATGTTGAGCTTGACCAATGATGAGAGGAGTAGGTTTTAGAGGGTTGGGCACTGAGCTCTGAGATGTCCTTTCCTGAGGAACCCATATCTCTTCACTCACCATAGGGTCCCACTGGTACGGCGGTGGCCGTTTTACACCAAGGGCAGCCTCTGTCAAGGACACGGGTACGTGACGCATTGTTTTCTCCACTGGGCAGTGCTGAGAAAGGGCCTCATCCTCCGTGAAGGCAGAGTTGATGTAATCTGCTCGGTCACGGGAATTGTCAGGTGGGCTCAGCAAGCTGTACGAGGACTGGGAGGCCAGAGGCGAAGTACTGACAGAGTGAGCGATGACAGAGCTGTGCTGGGAGGTGCTCCCTGTGCTCAGATCAGGTCTCATGCCACCAATACTGGAAGTGCTGCTACTAGCATTGGCACTAGTGATGTTGCCCACACCACCAGCGCTCGCGTTGCTGCCGCTGCCACCGCCGCCACCGCCGCCGCCGCTGCATTGGCTGCAGGTGTACAAGGCGGTGGGTACTCTCTGCTGGTACTGCGCCGTCACAACATTGCTCTTGGCTTTTGGGGGAAGTTGCAAGGTGGCTCTCTGACCCTCCACCAGCTGAGCCATTTTCAGGGCTGCCTCTCGGCTGTTCCTCCGCAGAGTCGCATGAATGATACTGCTGTCCAGCCTCTGCGCGATGCTTCTGCCCTGGGACAGCTGGCTGGCGATGTCAGGGTAGGGCGGCGGGTCCCCGGTTGGGATGGAGTACCGGGGGACCGTGAGCCGGTTTAGGGTGGCACTGGCGCACGGCTGCTGCATCTTCTTCTCGGCGGCGGTGATGCGCAAGGTGGCGGAGCTGCCGGGCCCTGGCAGGGTGTAGGTGCTCTGGGCGCAGAGCATCCTGGTGCGAGGCCGGCACACCTCCTCCACGTTCCCGCTGCTGTCGAACGTCGTTATCCGCTCGTACCCCAGGGGCGTCTGGTAGTGCCCCGCGGGGTAGAGGGAGAACTCCCCCTTTTTCAGGCAGAGGTCGAGGGGCGGCTGCGGGGGGCCGGGCGGGGGCGGCAGGGCAGCGGTCGGCGCGGCGGGGATGGTGCCGGGGTAGG